TAGATGCTTTGTTTTCATAGGAAGGGGTTCATAGAACATCAACTGTTAGAAGAGTTTTACACTGGAATAACCATGGGGGTAGATCTTGTCTACTACAACAGTAGAATTGTTGAGCTTTCATTTTTAGTGTCTGTCTGCTGAACACCTCCAGAAGAGAAACATGCAATTCAATGGCTTATGTGTGGACAGACAGAAGCATCAAATATCATTTATGATGCTATGAATTTGGTCTGTGCTGAATGTCTGCTTAAAGCACTGGAAGATCTCTGTGGTCATGAAGATGACTGGCACCAAGCAGGACCAGGCTGCAGCAACTGGGAGACCCTACTCCTTGACAAGTAACATTTTGTTTGARAGGAGGCTCTGCCCATGTCTTTAGCCACAGATAGATTAGGAGTGTGAGCTGAATCTGTCTTGCATTTGATTTTGATATTTAAGAACTGATGTTTTTATCAGCTGGCTGGACTTGCTGTRCAGATTTTCTATTTGTACTATTGTGAAATTATTGCTATTTCCATTGGCAGATGCCTTTGTCTTCAGAGTAACTTCCCTGAGAGTGGTTTCAAAAATTAATCTGTGGAGAATACTGCATCTTGTTTTGCAGTATTCAGATGCCCCTTTAATAGTAAAGTAAAAGATGTTACTGTTTTTTCTGGTACTATTATTAGTCTGACTTGCTGCCACCTTATTGTCTGAAAAGTGGGCAGAGCTCAAAGATTTGGGAAAGTCAACATGGGCTTCACTTTCATTTGGTAATCAAATGAGAAAACACTAGATAGGACGTGATATGGCAACATCATGGAAACTGCTCTGTGGCAGGGTAAGAATGGCTACTGGCAGAGGAGGAAAGAAAATGACAATTTTTTAGAGAATGATACAGGAAAAGGTTTGCTCGAATGGCTGGAGTTGTTAACATTAAGATGATGGAAGAATGTTATGGAGGCAGAAGCAGGGGGAGGAGAGGCAGAGCCAGATCCTCAGCTAGCATTGCTGGGTATTTTTAGGAGTGCTTCCTGAGAGTGCTTTCTGTACATAAACAGTCGAGGTTCCAGGAGGCAGTGGTGAGGGGGAGCAGTGTAACTCAATGATACTTGTACTGCAAATAGTACATTGCAAAGAGCAAATTGTTTGACTTTATTAAACTCTTGCAACAGATGAAGGGTCTAGTTTCTAAGCAAAATAATTGTAACCTAAAGAAAACTTAAATATTGAAAGTCCCATAGGCCCTAGATTCCTGTTTGACTTGGCTTCAGAAGCTGCACATACTGTTTGAACCTTAGACTATGAAGTAAATTTGCAAAGCACAAGTTGTTTTGAAGACTCTTTCCACAATAACACATAACTCAGCCTTGTTATCGGAAAAATAGAAGACAAAAGACAATGGGAGGGAGGACCAAGTCTRGCAAGTGGGCTTCACGTGCTCTGCAGTTCTGGTGGTGCTGGCAGGAGCTGGGCAGATCTGGTCTAAGCATCAGGGCTATGCAGGAGAATGTYGCCTGCTCTTGGGTGGGYAGTGCCAAGATTAAAGCAGAATTGGAGCCACGGGCTAAATTGGAACAGGGCAGTGTGACASAGAACCAGGGATCTGCCCCGAGACWAYTTCCCTCCACCCTTGTTTACAGGCACGGGGGCTTATTTAGAGCATTGCACCCAAAGAGTGGTCCTGTGTGTGTTGGAAGCAAAAACTGTGGATGAAGATGCTCCCATAGGAGGCCCATCCTTGCTGCAGCAACCCCAAAGCAGCCTGTGTGAGGAGGAATGAATCAATGCACCTGTGAGAGAAAGGTTGACACTCTTAGCTGTTGCCACTGCACATGGTGAGTACCTGGACAATATCTTGGCTGGCATTTCTTTCCTWTGGGAAACCAGTACTTGGCACCATCTTTTTGCATGAAACTTGTTGAAAATTTCTGTCCTCTCTTCCCTTGACTCCTTGCACAGCAGATTTATGGTCTCATTTTCCTTTTCCAAATAAAACCCTAAGTGCAAATCCAAAGGATAAATAGCACAGTGCAGACATGCCCATGGCAATATTCTCTGTATCACTGCTGAAAGTCTGAAAGGAAAAGCTGGTGAAGGCAAGATATCTTGAGTGAGAAAACTATTCTCATGCTTTTGTGCTAGTTCTGGAGGTAGAAGAGCACTCCTGTTGTGCTTTTCCCTAAACATCCTGCTGCAACTCAGGCAAACTTGAGGTATCTTGTCTGCAAAAAGGGGCTATGGCACCCATCCTCCTTGGCAGGGTTTTTGTGTTGGAGGCAAACCAGTTCCATCACTGTGCTCAGAGTTTTCTCTTTCACAAGGACAGAAAGGACAGGTGTTCATAAATAAACCTCAGCGTTTGCTCTGCACTGGGTGAARTTGTTCATGGAAATTGTGGTGGTGTTTGCCACTCTGCCCATTAACATCTCTGCTTTTCTGATTGTTTCCACCCTGCCTGMAGCCTCAACTGACATGCCTTGGGCGGGAAATGTTTAAACAGGGCACTGGGCAAGTGCCACAGAGGCAAGCAAACCTGCAGGTTTGAGTAGGGCTTCTTTCAGCTGCCTCAGTAGCACTGCAATGGACAGCTGCAGCCAAGACCAAATACCTCGTGTTAGCAAGGGTGGCTGTGGGGGAAGGAAGTTATTCYTCATTTCTCAGACTGAGCTGGTGGTTTACAGCTTTGGATCTTGAAATTGTACCACAACATATACCTGGAACCACACCCAAAATTGTTTTCATTCTGCCTTGATTTCAGCTGCATTAATAAAAAGCTTTTGTTTAACTACGCACAGCGGTAATCAGCCCCAGTGTGCAGGACATGTGGGCCAGAGGTTAGGACTTAATTGTCATCAATACAGAGCCTGGCCGGCCAMCTCCATGGTGCTACAGCCCTCACAGAGAAGGGAGCTAATGGTGGGCTCAGGAGCACTGTCTCCTGAAGGATGGAGAGCCTGGAAGGAGATGGGGAGACCTGTCTTGCAATGTCTGAACTTCACAGCAATGCAAAGCACTTGAACTAGCTAAGGCATGTCTAGAAAGGGATTTTTCTTGTCCCAGAGTTGGACATTTACTTTATTCTCTTTGGGTCAGTGTTTTTGACCTGTTGTTTTTTTTGTTTACTTGGTTTTTTCCCCAGGTAGAAGAAGGAACCCTATACACCTGTAATGGTGTCAAGAGCCAGAAGCCTCCCTCTGCCAGTGTGCTAGCTTATCTGGCAGGCTGCAGTTCTAGACGGGTTTATTGATCCCAGCTGCAAGTCATGGATGGTCAGGGAAATTAGATGGCCTGCYCTGGCTGGCTAAAATAATCTCACAATGGCCAACAGGCCTCATCTGGGGTAACAATCTCACAAGTTGTTCACTTTAAGTTCTGCCCTGCAACCACTTCAAACCATGTTGGCTTCAAACCATGTTTCCAGATGTGCAACTCACTGGAAATTATGACCTGTCCTGATGGGCTCAGTGCACAGAGATTTTGAACTGTTGTGTTTCATACACCCCTTGTGATTTAATATAGTGCTTGGCATGGGCTGAGTTACAGAGGCTCGAAGGGAGTGGTTAGTAAGGCARCTGAAAATACCACTCACAAAACAGCTTAAGCATGGTCTGCAATAAAAAACAATCCCCAGACAGACCAAGGTGGAAGAGACCCAAGTGCCAGGAGTGGTTCAGTAACCATGCTCACTGAAATCTAATCTCTTTGCTGTGGCAGGCAATAAGAGGCCTGTGAAAACTATAACCTCACTGATTTTTTCCATCATTAGCTATGACCTCGCTTCTGACTGCTTACTTCAGTCTCAAAGGATGAGACCCTTTCTGGAAGGAAGATCTGTGCCTCTGCTCCCTGAGAGGAAATTAGTCTGTAGCATTGCTATGCTTTACTTAATATGTTTATGAAAGTGGAAACACCACCTGAATTCCTCTATAGACTCTGTAGGGAAATCATGTTTCTATATTGCATTAGGAGAAATGCAGTGAAGATGTGCTATGCTCAGTTAATATTTTTAATATATGGAGGTAAAAGAAACTTCAGTTCAGAAGAAGTAGATGCTTCCCTCTTTCCATTCAACATCCATGGTGCTATAAATACAAACTGCAGGGTACTTTCAGAACTGAGAGCCTTTAAGACTTCTCGAGGGAAAACATCACACCAAATTAATCTGCCGCCAAGTGGAAATTCTATATTGTTTGCATTTGCCAATGTTCTGTATGTGGCTGTAATTGCACTGAAGCAAATATCTGCTTCGAGTTCTTCACAAGATTAAATGTGGCCAATTGGGCGTAAAAGAGTAATTGAAATGCAGAGCTGCTGCTTTGGATTTGTTAGAGGCATTGCTCATTTTTGCTGTGACATGATGACACTAGGTTCTGACTTCCCATTAAAACAGGGAAATTTGGGGAATGTGATTTCAAGCGTTGGGTTGCAAGCTAAGAGRAGGACATTTCTGTCTGGCACTGCACTGCCCTGCAGTGTGCCAGCAGGCAGCGTGCCCTGAGCGTGCAAAGAGACACCTTCCTCCATTTGACCAGCAGAGAGGCTGTCAATAGCCAGGCCCCAGGATGCAGCAACTGCTTCAGATTTTCAGAACTGGCTCCTGAGGATATAATGGTTCTTAAGTTCCRAGTGTTTGCCACAGATTTGAAGCAAAAACGACTTGTGAAGATCCAGCAAGAGCCTCCATGGCTTGTAACAGAGGGAGCCCAAGGTCTGAATTGGATCCTGACTGGTGTCGCCATGTCAGACCAAAGGACCATGTCAGCTTGCAAAACCTGCAGTCTCACCCTAAGCCAGCTGGATGTGAAATGTTAAAGATTAAAAGCCTCATGCTTTCTTTTTATTTTTACTAGTTTAGTAATTTTCCCTCTTGCCTTATAAATGCAATTATAAGCARGTAAAAAGTATTTTTTCAAGTTGACTGTGCTGCCTTCTAATTCTGCATGAAAAACTCAACTGCTCCCTATGCCCTGCCCAACAGGTAGTTAAATAAACAGGCCCAGGTGAGCAAAACTGCCAGTTTGAATCCTTCTTTATTTCATTTTCTTTCCAATTARTAGGCTTATCCAAAAAATACATGCCTAACCGTTTGCTCATGCTCAGCCTTTCCCCAGAATTTCTCCATGCAGCTACAGAGCAGTCCTGCCAGCATCCTTGCACTCTTCAGTGAGGGCAGAATTTCTTGATCTGGTGCCAGGAGACACACCTTCTTGGCACTAGAAGGCCTCTGCTCTTCTGCTTGTGCCCCTTCCTAACCGGAGGTCCAGCTCCCGAAGCTGCTGGAGGAAGCCAGAGTTRGGGCAGATCCCTCTGTGGGAGCGCACAGTCTGAATTGCGTCGGTGAGGGACAGACCTTCACAAATCATTAAGAAAGCGAGGACAAGAGTTGCAGACCGACTGATTCCCATTGCACAGTGAACCAGTACTTTGCCTGGAAAAAGGAGAGAAATTTGCAATTAYGACAGCAGGTCTCATGGTGGGAGTCATTGTGCTGGAGCAGAGATGGAAGTTGGTACTGGGGATGGGCAAGTTGGGGTGTGCAGCCCTGCAGAGCAGCCCTGCTGTACTTCCCCTGGTTGGGGAACATGGAGGTTTTACTGCTAGGGACAGAAAATTCGTGTTTCAGAAAATTCCTGTGTTCCAGGATCCATGGTTGCTTGTTTAAGCGTAGCTGTCAGCCTGACAGCACGCCCTTATCCCTCCTGTCCAGCCTGTCATCCATTGTGTCCCTGCTTGCTCAGCTTTGGGAGTGATGTACTTGCTGGCAAAGTTTCAAGAGTTCATGCTTGAAGGCCATGCTGTGGGAAGCAGTTTTGGCAGGTTGCTTACTACCAGAGGGCCTGGAAACTTGGGATTTCAGAAATGCAATGCTCAGGATTGCTCACTGCTGTTACAGGAACACTCCCCGTTTCCCACAAGCTCTGTTTTCTCTTTGTTTAGGGCGGTAATGCTTTCTGAGGGTGCTGACTGCTGCCCAGACTTTTTTGGAAGTGTGTGAAGAAAATAGATGTTATCATTAAGAACGGCTATTTGTATATGGCATTTGTACCAGCTCACTTGTGCATTTTTATTTCTATAGCCTACCCTGTACTAATCACTGTCCTTCTCTAATGCCACTATTTTTCCTTTTTTATTAAATGACCAGTAGGAAAACAATTTGTGAAATGTTTTTAGTTTTCCAGAGATTTCAGTGCAAGGTGTGCATCTTCATTCAGAGTTCATTAAGMCTAAATTATGAGTCCTTCTCCTATTGCTGTAAGTAAGCCTCAGGCAAAACCTTCCAGGGATCCAACAGTATAAATCCCTCCTTCCCTCTGTTCTGCTTTTGCTTTTCCCGCTGTGATCATGAACAGAAGCAGCCCAAGAAGCTCAATCTGTATCAAAACTGYCTCCCAGGTTTCTCATGTGTGACTCTGACCCATGTTGGAAGAAGATGAACATTTTTTTAAATGGTCTAGTTTGAAATTAAAAGAAATTTTTCAATTAAAGGAAAATTTTGCTCTCAGATGGAAGAATTCAGGTTTGTAGTCCTTTCCCTCCAGATGTGAACAAAGAGTTCATTCTGGAACCTGAAAATTTGCATCTTGTAAATATTGTAAAGTGCTTCAACTTTCACGAAAATTCTAAGATCAATGAGAAATTTTTAATTGAGGGGGAAATTGTTGTATAATTGTTTTACTGAATTATAGCCATGCCTGAACATTTTCAAACTTTCTTGTCCTTTGCTGCAGTCAGATCCATTCTTCTCAGAGACTGTGGCTCAGCACCTTGACATTATTAGAGTAACAAGTGATTAGAAGCAAATATGAACTTCTGACCACCTAATGGACAGCTCTGTCTCCCATTAAGGCAGCTGAAGAAAATGTTGTCTTTTTAGCATGAAAATTTCAGAATAGTTCTTCACTGGAAATCTTCACAAGTTTGAAACAAAGTATTTTCTGCCTTTTTTTTTTAATTTTAAACTTTTTTAGACTGTCACATTTGTGGTCTCTTATTCACTAATTGTATAGTTGTACAAAATGCAATTTAGTGGCAGTACAATTTATATACAGAAAAGATGAAAAATCASTGACGACAATCCCATGTTGCCTTATTCCTTTGGAGATGGAATAAGCTGCTTCTCTGCAAATTGTAAGGAGGGGTAGAAAGAAGGGACAGSTTTTCAGGGCTAGTTCCTTGTTTTGTTTGTGCTTACAGCATCTTAATTTCTCTATTACTAGGGAGTGAGACAAAAATATCCTTGTTAGATGATGAGCCTAGATCCAGACAAAAACCTCAGACTGATTGCCCCCCTCTCCCCAAGCGTTAATTCTGGGTACTTTGTGCACAGCTTTTAATCTTAAATCCTATTTTGTTTATTACAGGGTATTTATTTAGCAACCATTCTAGTTCTGACTAATGATGATGGCATAGCCACATGCTTGGAGAGCATGAGCATGTGTTGTGAAAGCCTGCTCTGGCCAGCAGGTTGAGATAAGTGTTGATTTCCACAATGTATGTGACACAGCCACCTCTCATTATCCCGGCATGAGAAATCCGAGYGCAGCCCTAAAGATAGACATGCCTTTAGTAGAAATAAAGGGACAAATATAGTCTCCAAGGAAGTGGCARAAACAGCTCTGGTGACAGCAGACTTGGACCAGGCATCAAAACCTTTGGGGGAAGGAAGAGGTTTTGCARTGTAAGGCCAGTTTTGCAGAATCTGTTTTCTCACTCAGATACAGTTTCATAGAATTTACTGAGATATTGATGCCCTTATTTAAGTTAAGTTGCATTTATCTGTCAATTCCGTTAATTTCATGAAAATTCTTGGAAGTGAAGTCCTGCTTTTTATGGGCACATGGAGAAATGTTCTGCATCCCTACTAAAAGATAATGCTAATTTGAATTTCCATCAGACTTCTTTTTCAATGTGCTGCACATTCATTAGACTTCCCACCAACCTGGTAGGGTGTGTATGTTGTATTATCTTCCCCAGAGGAAGCACTTGGGATCCAAATAACCCTGGTCTGAGAGGAGCATAAAGGAATCAGTAGTACAATTTTGCTTTGAAAAATACTGCAAATAGGGCTAGGCCAGAAGATTTTTCTGGAAAATCTTTGCCTCAGTAGTTTGCAGGAGGCCTAACTCTAATGTAGGGCATGGATGGGAAATCCAGACATTCACCCAAATGTGCACCCCAAAAAACAGAAGCCAAGGAACAAAATGTTATAAAAGTTTTCTTGGAATCAGGAGCACTCTTGTTTATTTTTTCTTTGAAAACTTCTGAGCTACCAGCACTCTACAACTAAAAGGAAAGGAATTTATGGTTTGAACTGCATCATAAGGGAGAAAAATAAACAAGAAAGAAATGGCCTCGATGTTAGATTTGATTTTGTGTGACTACATATTTTGAAATTAAATCTAATTTGGGCATAAACTGGATGCGGGAGGGCAGACTTGATGTTTGGGATCCAATTTTTGTAAAATTGAGCCCTTTTTTCCCCCCCATCTTTATGAAGACTTCTGCCTTGGAAAATGCTCTGCCCCACCAGTAGTCTTGAACTGAAGACTAAGCTAAGCACAGGTATAGATGCTGCTGTTCAATGTTGCTGTTGTGTTTTGTTGGAGGCACAGAAAGCAGAACAAATGCCAGACTCCTACCTGTACAGGCTGGCCCTCTACTGTTTCATGCCTGTGTCTGAGAGGAGACAGTGTCCAGAAAGAATACCACTGAATTTTCTTCTCTGTTTCTCTGGCTTATCTGCACTTCAGAAGACTCCTCCTATATCAGCAAACAGCTTTAGAAGGTGTCTCAGCAAAAGCCTGCACAAGCCCCAAGTATTGACCTTGGTCCTAATCTGCATGACTCTCTAATACACTTGTTCCCATGAGGATGCAGGTATATTATCTCTTYTACAAGTGCAATATGTATTCTACTTTGTTAACCTCTGTGCATAGTGAAACAAAGGCTATGATAAATGCTGGTACGCTGACAATAAAATTATTTGTTTGTTGCAGATAAATCAGTCATGTGAAAGTTATTTAATTAATGTAAAATTGCTCAAATGAAAGCAGATTTAAATTTACTGTGTGATTATTTTTAGCAAACAAACTGAATGTTAAACTTGAGTAAGGAAACAAAAGCTGTGTTGCTATTTGGTTCTGTTTACAGGCTCAGACCCTTGTCTCTTAGCAGTGGCTGCAAATGGGTGAAACGACACCCTGAACCCCTGGTGACATCCTGCATGTGACCAGAGCCTGGAGCACGTCTGCTCCATGGGCTGACTGYGGTGGGCAATTCCAGCCATTCCCCCGTGGGACACAGCTGAGATGTCCCAGCATTCAGGCTCAGATTCCTGGGTGGCTGCTGGACCACAGCCACGGAGAGCAGCATTCACAGAGGCAATTGTGTGTTCCCTGCCATGTGGCAGGCAAGGAAGTTATAACCACATCTTCTGTACCACAGAATCCATGCCATGAGCTGCTGTCTTCCAACTGTGCCTTCCCACACCCATTTGGTTTAACACAGAGTGCAAAGAGAAGCTGGGCTGGTCCCACATTAGAGGACCATGTTGCAACCTTCTCTCTAAACATGAAACAGGATCCCTTAGGAATAATAGGATTAACTGAGAAGTAGGGGCATTTAGCTGCTGGCATTATTAAATCTTGCAATCCTTATTTGAAATTTTGCACCACACATCTCGAGCTACTTTTTGCAGAGGCAGACAATAACTGTCATCTGGCTGGGATTTGTGCAGAACAATAATACTTGGTTTTTAACAGTGGATTACGGATATTCTATCCAGCTCATGCCTGCTGTAACTCTACTAACATCAAAGGGTTTGCACTGGGGATAAAGTCTGCACATTCAACTTCGTTGGCCAAATTCAAGTTGGGAAATATAATGTTGTTCAACAAAATCAGCCATTAAAACACATAATAACTTATTGTTCTTTTGCTAATCATCATAAAATGAGCTAAATGTCCTAAACTAGCCTTGCTTTCTTTCAGGATGGATTCAATTTGGCTTAAGACGAGGCTCCAGATCTGTCACTTGTAGTCGATGTCCCAGCTGCCCTCATTCCATTGGATCCAGCAGAAGTGTTCTGCTCTGCAGGCGGAGAGCTCAGCTGGGCTAATGGGCCCTACGGGGTCTTTCCACGATTCTCTCATCTCCAGTTAGATTTTAGCCAGGTGCAGAATCCACTGTCTATTTCTTGATTAATCCAGGATCTGTTTTGTCACAGCTGAAAATAACAAGAAGCCTACAGAGAGCTTTAAATAGTGGCATGTCCCTTCTTCCCACGCCTTYAGAGCAGGTAAGAGCTGTCATCTGCTGCAGAGTGGGAGGTCAGACTGATGTATGTAAAAMACTTACAGTGGAGTCAAGCAAGAGGACCCTTTTCTCCAATGCAGCTTTCATAACTCCCACCAACAAGAAGGCAACAGGACAGGGAGCCTAGCTTTTCACTTGCTCCACTGAAGTGGAGGAAGGGAAATGTCTTTGARGGACTCTGCCATTTCAAGATGTTAATGAGTGATTTTAACCCGCCTGTTTTGAACATGTTCAGAAGTCAATAAAATGCAAAGCTSTCTACTTGGGAATCTCTCTCTCAGCAGTGTTTAATAGTTTTCATGACATGCTTTCATTAAGTTCTCTTTCCCTCTTCTGCTAGACTTTACAAAACTCTGCTGATTTACTTTAGGTTTAACTGCACTCCAGAGAAATGCAAATTGTACAGGTGGCCATGCAAAAGGTCAGTCCTTTGAGCTTGAGYACATGAGGGAGAAGGTCAGTACTTTCCAAGCTCCATGTTTCTTCTTCTAAGAACAGGGACAGATTGTGCATCTGCTCACTCTTGTCTGAGCCTTCTCAAAAGCTCTGTTACATGGGCAAACAAACAGCCAGGCTGTGCTGAAGAAAAGGCTGCCAAGGAAGTAGAGATCATAAAGCAAGGCTTACATGGCATGGCTGCAATAGTAGTGCATGTGTTTCCTAATCTCTGCAACAAAGATGATGAAGGAAGTCAATCAGTGTGTGATGCAGCCATTGACAACTGTGACAGGAAAAGCTCCCARTTAGGAACAAGTGAGTGCACACTCCCCTGCTTCTTTTGCTGACACTSTGGCATCTGAGTTTTAAGAAATGCCTTAAAAACAAATTCCTTACATCATTAAAGATAATATTCTGCTCAGCTAAGGTAGAAGTCTGGAACAAATCTGTCCAAGCTGTTTTCAGGACCTGTGGTGAAAAGCATCAGATTTTTTTTTTTTCAAGCATGATGGGAATAACAGTTCTTACCTAATTTCTAATGAGTACTTGATTCATAGTTTTAAATATGTCTGTGCCTCATACAGTCTTAACTTTGACTTATCCTCTCYGGTAAAAAGGATAATGTATTTTCATTAAAGAAAAAAAAGTTGAATTTGTTTGTAATRGTAAGCAGCAGTCTTAAATGACTTCTCAACCAAACAGTAGTACCTTGTTACATCYTGTATTTAATATGGACAGGCCTCTTGTCACTTGCTATATATTTTGTTTTGTTGTTCAACTTCACTGCTAATAATAAACACTACTTTTTTCCTTCTTCTAAATGATGTGAATAACATTCCTCTCCCTGTCTCATCCCTGCATAGGTCATGGGTATTTAGCTGCTAAATTTCTGTACCTCAGGAAATTATACTTCCAGAACATCTTGTTTATATATTTTCTAAACTGTTGCGCTTTCCTCAAAATGATGAATGTCAGCAACAGCTGGACAGCGTATGATTAAATTTCACCTTGTCTCCATTCCCAGAAYCCTGCTTCCATATGGACTTCAGTAAAGCAATATTAAAAGCATGGGAGTAGGGATAAATATGCCTTGAGCCGTAACTTGTTCTGCATCTGTAACTTAGTATTTCGGCATGCCTTTTGCAAAACACTAGTTTTRTTTGCTGTTGTGGCTTCCACAATTCATCTGTTGTTTTCTGTGTTTTGTCAATTGATTTGGAACTTTGCTTTTTCACATATGTGAACAGATTTTGGATCTTACCTTTCTCTGGAGCACTGACARTAATGACTTCAATTGCAAATAGTGTATGCTGTAATAGAAATGGGTGAAAATCCAAATTCCCCAAATATGCTTGTGATTTTGAAATCCAAATGCAGCCCTAAGTAGCACAAARGCAAAGATTTTCTAACAGAACAGATCAAGCCCTCCAAAGAGCAGGAAATGCAGAGGTCTCTAGCRTGAAGGTATACTGTTTGCAGTTACTGTGCCTTCTCTTCCTGGCTAGTATGGTGTGGATGAGATCTACTAATGCATACAATTAATCTGGACAGTTAGTACTTTAGGAGCCTGATTGATATTAAAGCACATCATGATGCAAGAAAACAGTTTTCTGAGTGTATAACTATTTCCTTAAGAAAGCACTTACTTTTGAGTAGTGTCTGTAGTTTTGTGGCACAGCAATGACTTGTGAAARCTTGCCCTTAGTAGTAACGATTCCCCATTAGCCCCAAGCCTCCGGCATTTTACCTGGCATGTATTTAGCGAAACTGAGGATTTTGTGGGTTATCTTCCTATTTCAAGGTTATACTTTCTCTAGCAACAGCATGACATTATTCCTAGCTGGTGGTGTTGCTTAAGTTCCCTTCTATAGAATTGCTTTCTAGCAAGTTCTTCCCTATTCTGTGTYATGTAGCATGATAGTTGAATCTTCTTGCTCAAATATGATGCTTGCCCTTGTCTTTTATTTTAAACCCCATCACTAATTTGAAAYGATCAAATAATGTGCCTCCTCCCAGGTCAGTGTGTCCCAGTAGGTAACAAAGGACACCTGCTATTTTGTCTTTTGCTGATGAGTAACATGAGGCTTAGGGAGAACCCCTTTAAAAGCCTATTCAGTGCATCCTTYTCTGTTTCAGGGAAACAGGGGAACTCCCACTCACTGCAGGAGTTYAGGAGGCAGGTAGGATGTTCCTTAGTTTGGGTATCTATATTCTTACCCATGTGCAGATGGTTGGTTTATGTCAAATAATATTTGATAACTTGCCCTGCTTGTCTGCTGTGAAGAAGATACGAAACATGCGCAGACAGTCTAGTTACCTCTTGGGGAATTCAGTGCTTCTCTGATGTATTGAGCAACTGGATAGAAGTGAATGCTGAGATCAAAGTTCGGGTTGTCCTCTGCTTCTACTYCGTAGTAATCCACAGACAAGTCGTCGTAGAACTTGGGCCCAGTGTTGATGCGAAATCTCCCAGCAGCAGCATTCACAATGTGGGAAATGCCCATGCGGCTCAGCTGGGCCTTGTCACGAGCAACGTACCTGAAGAAAGATGGGGAATTATATTTGCCTGCTGCATTGCAAGTCAGGGAGGAACATGCCGTTGATGGTGAATTTGTTACAACTGCAGGAAGTGGTAGTGGCTATTTTTTGGACAGGTATATCAGGCCAAAGTGTCCATCAAAATGAGAGTCTATCACTTTGAGACAGAAGTGACTTCTTAAGAAACTGACTCTTAGATTTACCTAATTTTTTTTCCAAATGTATGTTTAGATGGTCCTCAGCTGATGAAAGGTGGTGGAGATACTTCTGCATAAGCTAAGGGCTTTCTGATTTCAAGGGCTTTCTTACCAAGTCACCTCTGTCAGTTCAGGGGACTGATGCCAGGAGGAGAAAATGAGCTTGGATCCTGTTTTACCCAGCTCTGGCATGACTGCTTGCTGTACCAATCCCACAGCTCCAGTGGGCTGTTGCAGTGTGTGATTCCTGAACTAATGTAGGAGGAGAAACCAGGAGGGGGCGTATTCTTATTAGTTGGTTAGAGTGCCTTTTCTCTATGCTACAGCATCCTATGCGCAGTTCAATCTTGTTCAATGCTTAGACCTGTTGTGAGAGGTTCTCAAATTAGTGCCTATCCCTTTTTTTAAATAAAGAGTGGAAGATTTGGGGGGAAGAGTTGCAATAACCTTCAGTCCTTCCCTGTCTCTTACAGGTCTCCTACATAAAGGTTCGGCCAGACTTCATCCACGTGCCCTGTGGGGTGTGTGCGTGTGCAGAGCAGGCGCCGCAGCTCCTCCAGCGATGGTGTCCCAGCACTGCTCCCACTGTCAGACATCCAGCTTGAGGCACTTCGTATCCTGGGCCGCCGTAAGTCCTGGCTGCACAAGGAGTCCCAGGCCATCCTGGAAGGGGAGGGCAGACATTCACCACCACCCAGATATATTTCTGATGGCTCCCTTTCTTCCTCTCACCTTGTCAAACAGTTGATTAAAACTTCATTATATTTTTTAAGATTATTTTCTTCATAGGAAATGGGGAAGTTCCTACTAGTGTCTGGAATTCTAAACACTATTATTATTAGCACAGTGAAAAAGACCAGCCCTTGATATGCCACCACAAGAGTTCTGCTTTCACATGGAAAGACGTTATGCTATGGAAAATGTCTTGTGTAAGTATATCTACTCAAAGGGTAAAGAGACAAGGTATTAATTTGGTATGCTGAGGTTTTCCTTTAGCCAGGTAACTAGGGTTTCCATATAGATACTTAATCTGATTTGTCTTTTATAATTTGCCCCACAAACTGCTCTGGACTGAGTAGAACCACTTGTGCAAAATCTTATTCACTGGTTAGCTATTGTCAACTTCAATGGGGAAAACTCTGTAAGGAGTAGTTTGGTTCTTTCCAATAGTATTCACCAGCCATACTGGCTGTCCTCATGACAAATGCTTATGTTAGAAAAATCTAGATGAGCTACAGTGAGTCCAGCTGTCATTCATATGAGCATTAATTTATTTTTTTTAGCAAGTTGTTTAATTTGCATTCCTCTCCTCTCTGCTCCTTCCACAAACTGTCCTATTTCCAGTCTTGAAGTATGTGCTTCAGTTACAAGGAGAAACAATTTTTTAGGCATCACTTTATCTCTGGAATTACTGTTCCATATGGTACGTTTCTTTTGAAATAGTGGTTCCTCCTGTGGATTTGAACTGTTGGGAGGATTTTTTAAGAGGGGAATAGAAATTATATTTTTCCCAGAGTTCTGTTCTAAGAAAATATTAAACTTTCTTTTGGTATGTTCTAAAWATGAACCAAACATCTGCATTACAGAGATAGTAGGAAGTCTGTCAACTCATGAGTCTTTAAACAGAAGCACCTGTCAAGGACATGGGTGAAGTTGYAGTCAGTGAGTCAGTCTTGCTCTGGCACAGTCTTCTATATAAATGATTTGAGGGGTGGTTTGGGGTAGAACAGTCCAGGACAGCAAATCTGAAATMTTTCATTTTTCTGCTGAACATATCATTATCAAATAAGTTGTATTTAAGTTCAAGCACCTTCATTGACAATTCCTTTCCAAACACCAGCTGTGGTGAAATGTTCTTCTAGTTTCCCAACAAGGTATTTTCTCTAGCTCAAAGTGCACATTTTGGTGTAATTTTATTTTGCATGCACTAAGACTGAGCAAGAAGGCCAGATTGCTTTGGGACCTCATGGCACCTTCATTTTAATATAGCGCTTTGCTGAAGGGCAAATGGAGCAACTAATTCCTTGACACATCTGTAGAAAAGGAGGGAAGTGTCAGAGTTAGGGCACAGAACAGTCCCTACAAGTCACCCTTCTGCCATGCATGTGGGGTGATGTGCCTTGCCACCCAGTTGCCAAGAGGAGCCCTCTGTTATTTCMGTACACCTCCTTCTGCCGCTTTCATGGCAGCTTTGGCCTCTTGGACACAGTAAGTTAGTAAGTTTACACCAAGTGATGTTCCCAGAATGRTCTTGTATTGTTACAAGAGCATTACAAAGAGTTCCACAGTGGAATGTGCATATCTCCTCCAGTGTCAGCTTTTACTCTGAAAACAAAAGCAGATGTTCCTGCYCATTTCGCATGGTTTTATGCAAGAGGAGAATGGAGGAATTCCTTACTGGAACAGGCATCTCCCACTGATTTTGATTGCTGCTTTGACACTGGCCACCCCACTGTCCCCCCTCCTATGCCAGCTCTGCCTGGCTCCTGCTGGTGATCTTGGACATTTCTCTGATCCCACACAGGAGGTCTGCAGCAGAAATGGGACTTTGATTTCCTGTGCCCTGACCACAGGGCCATCTGCCAGTTCATTAAGYACTTTCAAGAATAACAGCCTCCTCCAATCCTTCCCACCTCATAATATCTGCAGCAAATGTTGCCCTTTTTTGATGTACCTAATTTCTTGCAGGGTGGTTAATGACCACTCTAGGGCACTTCTCATTCCTGTGAAGTTGCTTTAAACTGTTTTGTTTTTCTCTTATTCAGTACTTCCTGTCATCCTTTTCTCTTGCCCTCTCCACTGTATAAAAAGGCTGCTGCCAGCCTTGCTTTCCTAAAACTAACAGGAGCTGGGCAGATAACTCTAATGTATAGTGCACCTATTGAAAAGTGCTCCTTCAGAGACTTGTTTTGTTTTGTTAAAATTCTTTCTACGAGGGAACATAACTGCATAGGCTGGGCAAAGGGAGGTACTGTGTGCTACGTGGATATTGAAAGCTGTGGAATAATGGTCCTTATAGGATGGACTGCTTCTTCAGAATTATCCTAAGATGACTTTCAGCTTGTGCTCACATGGATATTGTATTACGGCTAAGGAATTTACTCCTGTTGAAACACAGATGTGAACTGCTGATGTTGTATACAAAACTTATTTCATGTTCATTTTGGTCACATTTTTTATCTGGAGAACAGCATCAGTTTGTGTAAACCCTATGTCYAATAAAAAGGAAGGACTGGAGTTCAAATTTCAAATGTGAAATAACTGCAGCTAGTAGGCTGTGAATGATTCAAAAACAGAGAAGCCTCAGTRGGAGTATTCAACTAATATGTTGAATAGTGAATGCATTGAAAAAATAATAGCTTTTCATAAAAAATTTACAAACAGGAAAACAAGGCAATTTTTTTCTGAATAGATAACTACTCAGTTCTAGCATCCATCTAACATCTTACCTCACTAAATTTATACATGCAYGTGTCATTACTGAAATGCATTTATTTAAAGAAAACAATGCTATGACTAAAATTTTGTGTAATGTTTTATAAGGAACCTGGACAGATTAAAAAGTTTAGTGTGATAGGAAAATGATTGCATGTAATAACGTGATGTCTGTTCATTTAAAAAACATGTTTTTAATGATTCTCAGCTTAATTCCTCTATACTGACTTTCTACAGYGGATCTGCTTCTGAGATATGTGTTGTATGAATAAACAACACAATTCCAAAATGCTGATTTCTGAATGATGATGACATAAAACATCCCTGATCTTTGCCCTACTGGAGTTGTATTATGGTAATTATACAATCACATAGGAGAACTTTTACCATTACATTTATATGAATTTTGAATTGGTTTGTATTGCAACTGTAAATGTATCTGAGCTATGCATCAGAATTTCCTTTATTACAACTAGCAGGAGGATTGCAATCAAAGAGCCCCATCAGATCATTCTGATGCAGAGTGACCTCGGGTATGACACAGGCTGTATGTGCCACCTCCCCGGATTGATGTGCGTTGGTGACTCTGCTTCATTTWGTCAATGGTTCCTTGTATTCAACTATCCCAGGAAGAAAGGAAAGTGGTCCTGTGAGAGGTCCCAGATAATGCCTCCTTCCTGACTGTCTAGGCTTCCCATCTGCCCAGCAGTGAATGCCTCTACAGACTGCATGTACTGTGGATGCTTTGGTTGGGTCTCACTTAATTCAGTGACTATAGCTTTAYCTGCAACATAATTCATGCTATTCARTGTCATGCTGAGGAGAGAGTCTTTAGAGACAGGTATTCCTTCACAGGTTTATCAGTCCTTGGAAATATATGGCACATTTTATCAACTTTCCCCAATTCCACTATATTTAATTAAACAACAAAATCAAAAGTCAGTATAATTTGACAGTTTGACATTACATTGATATGAGATCAAGCTGAGAGGATGGTATGAAGGCTGAGATTAAGCAGCAGAAAATCCTGCAGCATGATGCTGTTGTAGGTCAGGAGCGAAAACAACTCTTGTGTCTAGGACATTTAGTAGAAAGCCTTTACAATTTCTTCTTTAACTAGCATTTTCCAGTACCAAGATAAAGGAAGGGGCTGTGTATAATACAAGGATGCCAATGCTCTCATTTCAATCATGTATCAAATAATTTAATCATMCTAGGGCCTGTGCTGATTTTTATGTATGGGTGGAACATAGACATTTTCTTATGGTGTTAGTAAAGATACTTCTGAGTCTTTAAATCCTGAGAGCAAAGTAGCCTCCATCCTGTGTTTTCTCAAGCTGGTATGTGCTATAACCTTGCCATCCCAGTGAAGATATCAGTCTGACTATACTTCAAATAGACTGATTTGTGGTGATAAAAGACTAGGCTGAAGCCCAGGGCTTGGCCAAGCAGGTCATGTCAAGTTCACGCCCATCATGTATTCAAAAGCCATAAATATTTCTCAGAAAGCCTATCCCCTAAAGCTTCCTCCAAGATAACGTATGTTTGAGAGAAGGTTTTGTGTTGCTACATTGCCACACAAATGACAAGTATTACTGTCATCATTCTTTCTTCCTTAGTGTTTAACCCAATAGTCTCGCTGGAGTCATAATTTATCAATTGCTAGGAGCACTATGAGATATAGATGGTATGAATCAAACACAGCGATGACTGAGGTAGGGCAGGCTTGACTTGAAAGCTGAGATAGAGGCAGTGTCTAGGGAGGCATAAGGCATTTGAGTAGCCAACTGTTTGTAAGAAAATCTCTCCAGCAGCTGGAGGATGTAATCTGAACAGCACTTCCAAATTTAGTAGAGGCTTCCAGACCCACAAGTGTAATCCAGCTATATGTTTAGAGCAAGGCACACACCTGGTGTGACTTGGCAAAATCCATTAGCTGGACTTGTTCTCCACAGACCACGCAAGGCCTGTGTTGACGAGCAGAGACTAAATCTCTGTACTGGACAGATTTGAGCAGCACAAGGCAGGTGAAAACATCTGATGTTTTTTCCTCTCRGTATTGCACTGGTGAAAATTTTCTGTCCTGACTTAAAAGGAATTGTGATACCTCCCCTCTGTCCAAGTAAAATTTTCTTTGTGTGCCATCCAGGGAAATCAGAAGTTACATTTCTGATGCAAAGCACTACTGAAATGTAAGGAAGAAATTAATCAACCCATCCTGGTTCTCA